TGCTACGATATTCCGTGTGAAGGAAAATGAAAGGGAAAAAAATGTGTCAGGTCATGGGCTTTATGTCAACATTATGTACACTATTGTAATACATGATCATTAGTGATAGTGAGATCTCGCTAAAATGAAATGGACTCTAGCACACTTGCTACTAAAGACACAAGTATGCTTCACTGATCATTAGTGAGATCTCGCTAAACTACCTATTTCCCCACAAAGATAACTTCAAACGAACACTATTGTAATACATGATTAACGGACTTTGGCACTTTAGTCACGGAGTGGGCAAACGGCAAGCCTGGAGGATTAGTGAGGAGGTGGGTTGCCAACCTACTTTTACTCTAGATCAACTAACGGTGTTTGTTTCAGATTAGTGAGGAGGTGGCAAGCTACTAATTGTTGGGTAGGCATGGAGGCCAGCACGTGCTAGTGTGAAACATCACCGGTGCACGGGAGAATACGACACAGCGAGGCGATAACAACTCAGCATTCAAACGGTCGGTTACTCCAGACAATGCCTTACACCATGCCCTAAAAAAGTCAAGATGAGACATCGCGTCCCCTCCCTTTTGTGTTACGTACCCAGTACTATATGGACTTCATTAAAAAGAGAATTGGAGATTACAACTTGATTACAATGGAAAGCTCAGAGGAATTGTGAAGCTCAAGGAGGAAGATGAACAGTGTAGATAGACGAGGAAGAGAAGAACAACTAACACACGCCAACAAAGCCTAGGCCGAAGCCCTTTCCATTCGGGGTTTCCTATTCGGCGCGTAGATTGCCTCCGACGAGTGACCTGGCGCGCACCCCTTGCGCGTTGGGCGTTCGTATGAGCCGGCCCATTTGCTGGTTTTTTCTTTCGTTTTTTCTCCCTTTTTCCTTTTTTCCTTTTTGCAAATTTTCTTTTTTTCAAATTCCAAACACTTTTTTGTTCCTCGAATTCAACAAATGTTCATCCATGTAAAAGAATGTTTAGCAATTCATAAAAAGTTCATTGAATTCAATTTTTTTGTTCATCAGATTTGAAAAATGCATACACCAAAAATCAAAATTTGTTCATCGAATTAAAAAAATCATCATTTTCAAAAATGTTCATCAAACTCAAAATTTGTTCATCCATTTTTTAAAAGAAAGTTCTTGAATATATTTTTTTAATCAAGTTCAAAATGTGTTCATCGAATTCAAAACTTGTTACAAAAATACAAAAAAAAATCATCATTATTAAAAAGTGCTTATAAAAATTGTTCATAAAAATAAAAAAATTCATCAAATTCAAAATGTGTTCATCCATTGTTTTTATAAATGTTCTTGAATACAAATTTTATTCATCAATTTCAATAAATGTTCATCGAATTGAAAATTTGTTCATGAAATAAAAAAATGTTTATCATTATTAAATAATTGTTAATCAAAATAAAAAAGTTCATTAAGATTCAAAAATGTTCATTCTTTAGAAATCGCGAACATGTTTCAATTCAATAACTGTTTTTCACAATTCACAATTCATTTTTTTTTGCAATTTAGAACACTTTGCAATGCCGAATTATTTAATATAGAATAAAAGAAAAACGGAAAATAAAAAGGAAAAGTAAAAATGGGAGCGTCCGGCCCCGTGCATGGTTGGGCCCAAAGCATTTGCACATCCTGGGCACACAGGTCGCCAAATAGGACCTCCCTCCTCCTCTGTCGTTTTCCTATTAATTTTTTTTTAGGGGTGAAACCAAGTTTATTCATCAAGTCCACATGGGGTGGGATACATCTTTGGTCCTGGGGTGCATCAAACCAAACGTGCCGACCCGAACCTCACGTAAGTGAAAACTTGGCTAAGCTATGTGCTTCATAATTAACAACACGGCTCTCAAAAGAAAAGTTACAATAAAAGGTAGATGCCTTAAGGTTTATTTCAGTGATAATTGCTCCATATGTCCCCCGTGCGCTCCTGTTGATATCTGGTACGACTTGCTGACGGTCTGAAGCAACAA